ATGTCTTATTTTAACTCAACCAAATCTCAAAAACCAAGATAAAAATTGTCACTAGCCAAGTAGAAACCAACGAATCTTCTGCATTCTTGCTTTATGTGGTTTTATTTTAGTAAAGTTTTATTTGAGCTCTAATAACACTGTGTCAAAAACTAAATGATAAAAATGGATTTAATGACACATGAAAACAAAAGTATATCTCTTAAATGTGTGCCTCAGGCCCCATTTACACGGAGCAAAAACTGTGATATTTCAGTGCATTTGGGTCTTTGGTTTACACGTAAACGAAGCTACAAGTCACCGAAAACGATCATATGAGAAAACTCCGGCCATAGTGGAGATTTGGAAAAACTCTGTCTTTACGTTTGCATGTAGACAGGAGGAGACGGAGCTTGACATTACAGTATGCGACAAAAGCGTCATCAGCGTCATATGTGTGCGACCGTGTTTACAGTATTTTAATCAAGTATTTTACTCGTTTTGTAGTCCAACACCACATTGAGAAGTAGCTCCACTTCTTCTGTTGGTCCAAACAAACAACCTTTGCGCCATTATCGTTGAAGTAACAGGAAGTAATTCGTGGCTTTATGCTTCTCGTTACACTGCCCCCTATAGGTTTGGCAGCTCATAGCAGCTCTTAACGACATGTTTATTCAGGTTTGTGTAAACGAAGATTTTTTTTAAAAATTATCTCCTGTGAACAATGTTATATTTGAAAACGTAGATCCATTTTTTGTAAATACCCGGCTACGTGTAAACATGGCCTTACACGAGTTAAAACATTCACCAGCAGGGCCCTGTCTTTTAAAGGTGGCTACATTTCTTGACAAATTTGTGTAGGACTAAAGTTTCATTCTACAACCTCCCATCACAGTGAAGGACGGCAAGTCCAGGCAGGAGAGTTGAAGAGAGGCAGACAGACAGAGCGGGGCTGGTGTTGATGGGTACGGTACAGTTTGGATCTGACGAAGGGGAGGAAATATGGGTGTTGGAACTTGTCACATCAGTTTCCTTCCCACAGCTCGCCGAATGAAAGACCGGTGTTGTACAGTAAAGGCAGGCTGGCGCGGGCGGACGTCCAGGACACAGCTGGACGTGTAAAGCCCCTCCAGGGCAGGACTCCTGCCACAACCGCCCTGCCTGCAGCGGTGGCAACATGCCTGGCACACCGCAGCGCCACCGCACGCCTCCTACGCTGCTACTGTACAACACTGCTCTTCTTCCTCAGGCTGGCGTGATTCCTGCCATCGATGTCGTGTTCGCTAACCTCCGCTGGAACGGACACAGGAGTCAGTGTCAGGATGCCGTTTTCTGTTTGTCCCACTAATTGTACAATTAGAGAATACAGAAATGTGTTTTGAATCTGCATTTAGATACGAGCCAACGTAGCTCAGGTAAAACTCCCAGAACGAGCTGCATGAAGACATTTTCTTGTCAGCAGAAGTTAGACAGGGACCATGTGTGTGTGTGTGTGTGTGTGTGTGTTTTGGACACCCTGTTCCTCCTTTCCTTCGTTCCACCATTTCACAGCGGTAAAGGAAAAGAAAACTTGTCAGACGAGGAGCGGGGAGAGAGTCATTTCTCAGCCACCTGTCTCCAACAGAAACATAAGGAATAGGGGTGTTTTTCACATGAAGGAGGAGAGAATGAAAAAAAAAGCGTGAATCTTCCTCCCGTTCCAGCAGAGTCGTAATTTACAGCGGATGCCGCAAACTGTTTCCTACATGTTTTGTGAGCGTGGACACATTGCTCCACTTGCAAGGGTTCCTTTCCCCCTCCCCTTCCACTCACCCGCTCCCAAGCAACCCACACCGAACCACCACCTCCAGCACCCCTCTGCCACTCCACAGTGATGGATTCAAAACTCTCCGGCCAGCTAATCCGTATTGTGTAAATACAACCACCGGACCGATGGGTGCTGGACGGGGGAGACAAGGGGAACTTGTTGAGTGTGTTTTTTGGGTGGGCAGACATGCTGGATGTGTTTCTGGGTGGGTGTTGGAGGTGACACCTGCGCTGACACAGCTGTCCATGAGCAGAAAGAGGAGGGGGAGGCTCAGCTGAGGAAGACTAAACAGGGTGTCTGTCCGAGTAGCAGGAAGCAAAGGAGACAATATATCCGTCATCGTACCTCTATTTTCTCTCTCTCTCTCTCTCTGTGTGTGCAGGCCGGGTCGACCACAGCGAGCGGCAACATCCCGCTGGTTCTCTACGACGTGTGGAGGACTCGAGGCCTTACGGGGTGAGTGTGTGTATATATTCATTCTGGCGAGATGCTCAAAGGCCACGGCGATTGTTTAAAACCGCACGGCCTCTTTACACAAACCGTTTTATCCTCCCCGGCCATTTAAAAACCTCTTACTTTACATGATTTGATTTAACTCGGGCCCGATCCCTCACGTAATCAAGTTTGATGATAGAGCGGTCACTCTGGGGAACGCGAATTTACAGCCGCAGCTGAAAAATGAGATGTATAAAAGCTTTTCCTGCCGACTCGCCGTGCCATCCTATTGATTAAGGTGCTGCAAGGGCCAAGTGGAAGGGTTTATTTGAGTGTTTTGATGTGTTTATGATGCGCACCGGACAAAAGGCCAGGTCTAATGGGGCCGCAGAGGGCTGCCAGCACTAAAACAAACCCTCAGTCTGGGTGAATAATAGGTCTGCTTGTGTACAAGCTGCCATCATTTAACCAGGATGCACCTCGGCTTAATGCTCAGATTTGGTTTGGGACCGGGGCCAAACACCAGTACACATACACTTACACATTTGCAAATACAAACCACTGCTTTTTGTTTGTTTGCGGAAGCCGCGGTGCTGTAATCTAATCAGAGAGAAATGACATTACAGCTGAGCCAAGGGTGATTCCCAACGAAACATCTGCAAGAGTTTTGGCATCATTTTTAATAAAGATCAGCATTTAGACTACAACACAATCTCAATAAGGTGATAGCTGGCAGGCCCCTGTGGAAAATCCATCACTACGAGTCTCAGTCTGCCTGCTGCAGCAGTAACCAAGTGTTAATGCGCAGGAGAAAACCAACCTCTGCTGCACCACATGGCAACCTTTGATGTTTTCTGCTCTTTTTTTCCCCCCCTCTCTCCGTCTTTATCTCATCCAGCTATCATCCTGGGCTCAGCTGTATTTCTCTGCGAGCCAAGAGAACAAAAGTGTAACAAACTTCTTTTCTCCCTCGATGTAATCAGAGAAGGTGAAGAATGAGAAGAAAGAGAGAAGCTAAGAGAACAAGACGAATGAAACGGAGAGACAAAGGAGAGTGTGTAAAAAAAAAGTAAAAGGCGGGGGCCTGTTGTTCCGCAGGCCAAAGGCCCGGTGGTTGCACTGGTGCATGCCTGATACAAATTGCTGGGGCTTTAAAGCTGTAATTATGGTAATAGGCCCAATTGCAGTGTAGTGAAGCTCTAAAGTGCTTCCATGTGTGTGCCGTGCCCCAGAGACCCTGGGTTAGCACAGAGCGGCTCAGCTCACACCGGCCTCCCCCACTAACCTGCACAATCACTAAACTGCACCAGAGTCATGTCAAAACAAAGCCTAATGGGCAACATGTCCTCGAGGGGCTCCGCTCCGCTCCTGCAGAATGGAAGAAACGGCAAACAAACAGCGCGTTTGAACCCCGCGCGCACACACAACAAAGCGAAGCCCGAGGAAGTTTTTTGCGGAAAGCCTCGATTGTGCTTTTACGGTTTGAGGAATCTTTTGTTCTTCAGCCCCAGAAATTAACTTAAACTATTTGAGCACTTTCCACCAATTGAAACGCACATTGTACTTCATGAAAGTGTGATTTTCGGAGTCGTGTCGCGTGGGAGGCAGCTTTAACTGGATTTGCAAACTCAATACACAGTGATGAGCAAGTCTCCTGTCAGCCTGTCTGCTTCAATTCAACTCAGTTCGATTTAATTTTATTTACGTCACGCCAATTTACAACGTAAGTCATCTGAGGGCACTTCACATCGTGAGGCCAGGACCTTACAATATTACACTTGAGTGCAACTAAGGCCTGTCCTTGGAGCCTGTCACTGTTTGGACTCGTAGAAATGTAGAGGGTCTCCAAGCGGAGCCCTTCTGCTTTATAATTTAATCAAATCTTGTCCTTTCTGTTTCTCGTCCTCAGTCGTGCAGTCGAGCATTTTTTTTCCCTCGAGGGAGCAGTGAAGCCGACTTTTAGAAGCGCACACATACCTATGCCTCCTATAAATAATTTGAAAATATTATACGCACTGAGAAAACTGATGGGACGTTGAATAGCTTTGGCACAGGCTGTACTTTCACCGTGCTGCAAGTGGAGAGAGCCCATTTTTATTGGAATTCAATATTAGTCACTTCAGCCGTGTAATACAGATGTCAGACTAAAGAGGTAAATCATTCGAATCGTTTGTCCAAAGGATTTGATGCTGCTGCTGCTGCTGCTGCTTGAATAAACTCAAGATCCAAGGAACAGCTGGAAACCCTAAATATGTTTTCCTTCTTTAAAGCAAAACTTCACGCTGATTTATCAAATTAGAAAGTTGAAAGATGTTCAAAAGTTGGGCCGCGTTCAACAAATCTCTCATCCCGTATATGTGACTCTCAGCCCCAAACCTGTAAATAGAAGCCTTTTGAAGTACATCACAGCTGGATAATTGGCTTTTTAAGGGGCTCAAGGTTCTCTTAAAGCAGGTAGGTGCATTTCTTTTTAGCCAATGTTAAATCCACCTCATGCTTTCTGCATCTATATAAGTGTATGCATGATGTACATTTCGCAATTCACCCAAGTCTACGAGGTTCAGCAGGGACCTCTTTGCGGACGTCCACTTGTAGTCCAAAATGTGTGACTGTACTCACTTCAAGACATTTGCCAAGAAAACAAACTTAAAACGATAGCTTGTTTTGTGGAGAGACTGTACAAAGAGGTTCCTTGTCATCTGCATGTTTGTAGTTCATCGATAACAATGAAGTTGTAACTGAAGTCGTCACTGCTTTGGACTTTGGGTAGGATGGCTAATTTCTCCAGAAATCCTGTGTTTTGTGCAGTTCAGAAATAATCCATGCCGGGATGCTTCAACCCAATCTTTAACTTTGATTATTTGATTATGGTGATATATTTTACAGATCTGCTTCAAAAGCCCTCCTCCATAAATTAGACACTATCTACCACTTTGCCACCAATTCTCCTTACAACACCCACCGCTGCGTTTTGTACTCACTGGTGAACTGGCCCTCTCTTCACTCCCACAGACAATGACACTGGTTTCTCTACAAAACCCTCACTGGTAAAACACCACATATCTGCGTTCATTATCTACCATTCATAACTCCACCAGCACTCTTAGTTCCTACAGTCTCATTAACCTCCACATTTCCAAAGTCTGCACCACTTTCGGTCGATCCTCATTCCAGTTTTCTGCCGCTAGTGACTGCAGCTCTTTGCAAATATTCCCTAAAACTCACCTCATACGAACCACTCTTCAAAAAAAACCAGTCAGAGCAACACAGAGCACCTCTTTTTAGCCTCTCTATTTTACAAGTCTTTGCGTAATTTGCTTTGTAACAGTGTGTGAGTTGCTGTACATGCGGTGTGTTTTTCCTGTTCATCTTGTTTGTATGCCGCCTCTTGACCAGGTCGTTATTGAAAATGAGAACCAGTTCTCTAACTTACCTGGTAAAATAAACAAAAAAAACCTGTTATATCCTGTAAAAAGCTGCAGGCCGACCTTCCCAAAGATCTACGGAATCCCTGTTTGTTTCCTCGTAGTATGGTAAATGGTAGATGGTCTGTACTTATTTGGCGCTTTTCTACCTTAGCGGCACTCAAATCGCTTTACAATGTGTTACTCATTCACCCATTCACACAGACATTCATACACCAATGGCAACAGAGCTGCCATGCAATGTACTGAATGGGAGCAACTTCGGATTCAGTGTCTTGCCCAAGGACACTTCAACTGTGGAGGAGCAGGGGATGGACATCCAACCTTGCGATTAGCCGCAGAGTATGAATAGAACCATACTTGTGTCCAACGTCTGCTTTCAAAGTCCAAGTCAATGTTATTTATTAAGCACCTTTGAAGCAACAGCCCTTGTACCAAAGTACTTTTCTGTAGTAAAAGTTACAAATGACCCCAGCAAGTTTAAATATTCAAGTATAAGACTACTACTCTGGTATTTATGGTATGTATTTAAATATTAGGCACTAAATCCTACATAAATGATATAAAATACAAGCTTACCTGGCCAAGAACCTGCAGGTTTATTAATTATGGAGAGCAACCTGACTAATTTAGAAGTGAAGTCATGACCTTACAAAAATCTACATGAAAACCCAACAAATCCAAAGATCTTCTGGATCCTCTTTGGGCAAACGTATTTATATTTTTTATTGCATTATTTTGTGTTTGTGCAGATGTTTTCTTATTTCTCTGTTTTATTGTCAGTCATGTGGAGACTATGAATTGGCCTTTTGTCAAACAGGAGCAAATAGCACATTTGTTTAGGAGTAATTTTAGCCCCGGACTTCATGTACTAGTGGCTGTTTATGGCATTTGGAAAGAAATATAGAACTGAATTAAAACAAACTACATCGTCCATATTCTTAGTAACAAATCGTCTAGTTGTGGCTCACATGATGTTGTTTTATAAGTTTGTGGACGACAAAGGAGCTCTATGGTCCAGGAAGTAGTTGTTAATAGGATCGATTCATGGATCGTTTTAGTCTTTTTATGGTATTTTTTGCACTTTATAAACTTTTTCTATACTTATCCTTTAAATAACTGATGCAAACACAGAGGGAACGAGGTGACTGCTGCTGAGAAAAGGTGTTAGCTTGCTGGCAAAGATGGGTTTTTCATCATATTTTGTGTTTTACAGCAAATGCTTTAACATCTGTGTTTTTATCTCAACTTTTTTTTTTTTTTATTATCATCCACCTTTCGTTCTCGAAATTCAAGTAGACCAACCCCCAACTGAAAGAATGTACAAAGCACCAAACAGATGGCTCTTCCTCAGCTGTCTTTAAAAAAAAAACCCTCACAGGTTAGAGTTTTCTCTTTTCTTTTAAACAAATCCTTTGAAAGGCTATTCATTATGACCTGCTCCTCAACAAGTGCCAAAAAAATGCTCTCTTATACGGACGCTTCTTCGTCAGCACCAACATTTTTTCTCAACTGCAGCCAAAGACGTTTTCTCTGAGCTCACCACGATTTGATTTGAATCTATATTTAGCCCGATTCCTCAGGAGAGGTGATTGG